TAAGTATGCCAAAATGTTCAGAAACCTTTGAAACGTAAAGATATATGAAGATTTTCATTGTCGATTTTTTGCGATTACTATAACTTGCCCTACGGAAAGTTAATAAGGCGACCATACGTCCAGGTTTAGCCGGAACAGTCCCGAATTTTCACCTTGTGTCCCGTGTTTTTACTTAATTTTAATATTTGTATACCGTTTCCGAAAGAATATTCTTAAGAGAGTTAAATTTTCAAAAATTTAAAATAAAATTTATGTCAAATCAAGGTGCAGTTTATAATTTAGAAGAAATGTTTTTTTTTATTGAAAATATAAATTTTATACATCTCAGACAGACAGAAGTGTCTGGTATGAGAGATCGTACAAAATATGTATACAATAATATTATTTTATACATATCATTATTATATATATTATATGTATATAATATGGTCATTACAAACATTTTATATCATTTATTCTGGGTTACAATAAATTTATTTAAATTGATTTTATATTGAAAAATAGTAATAAAAGTGAATTTAATTGTAAATTAATTTATATATCATTAATTGATTAAAGTTCTAGAATATGTACATATTGCGCGTCGCTCTTTTCAACTTATTAAAAAAAAGATAAGTCGTACTTCAGTTTTTTTTTAAGCAAAATTTGTCCCGGATTTAGACCTTTTGTCCCGGATTGTCCGGGTTTTTGAAAATCAAGCAGTAAATTAAAAAAAATATGAAAACAAACAAACTAGTACTATTTTTTTCAAATTAATTATGAAGAAACTTGTACAAGGCTCAAGAGTGAAAAAGCATATAATATATCTAAAAAAGCATATAATATAGATGGAGAAGTATTACATATAATCACATAATAACGTTCTTACTAAAAGTACGCAATTTTTATTCTAAAAAATATATAAAAACCAATTTTTATTGTCCCCTTAAATAGCATTTGTTATTTTAAATATCCCCCCTTCCGTCCCGTCCCGGATTAGCATAACTAAATATTGTTGTCCCGGTTAAAATAAATAAAAATTCTGTCAAAACCTGAAATTAACCTAGTAAGAATCCAGTGAAAATCTAATAACATTCGGACAAGAATCAAACGAAGCAAGAATGCTACAAGAATTTGATAAGCATCTAGCTGGAATTTGGTTGATCTACTAAGATTCACGTTAGAATCTGGTTAGGATCTAGTTAGCATCTATGTAGAATTTGCTTCAAATAGTTAGGATTGATTTAAAATCTGCGTACATGACAAATACATTAAGAAAGTTACAGTTCTAGTGCGAATCTCTTCGCAAACTCGTGAATTAACCTTAAAAAACTAGTCAGCAATATTATCTTTCAAACTTTCGATTTTTCAGATCGATTCAGAGATTTTTATTCAAAAACTTATACAAAACATAGAACAATAATTCACAAATGAACATCAAAATAATTATGCTTAACCATTAGGTATCCAAAGGAAACTGTCAATGTATAGTAGTTATATTTCTATGTTATTGTTGATTAATTTTTTTATTTTTTGAAGTAATAATGTTGAAATTTGTGTTTTGGTTTTTCTTGGTTTGATTTACTGAATGTTGACACTTATTACACATATTAAGTATTATTTTAAATTATAACACACTGATAATGAGAACCTAGTCTCGAAACGTTTGTGAAATTATTATTTAATAAATTATTTCAAATAAAGTGTTGTTTGTTAATATTTCTAAATTAAATATTAACCCCTGTGTTGTGTTATAATAATCATTAAACAAGTAACATAAGTAAAAATAGCTATTATTTTAAAAAATGTATACGTGCAAGTACTCATAAATATACATCTCAATAAAATAATTTATACATTTATGGTTTATAAATTTATATAATTTATAAATTTAGGTATTTTTACTTTATCTGGGTATTAGTTTTAAGTTAGGTTTGAGATTGTAAGTAATTTGGAAGATAGGAGTAAATTTTAATATCTTGCAACCACCATATAATTTGAAATAAACATAATAGTAAATTTAAGAATAAATTTAATTAACTGCCCAAATAATTGCAAATTCGCACAGATAAACAGGTCTATCTCCTCCGCCGCGAAGATGCGCAAACATTCAAATTTAACGATATTGGTAAAAAAGGAAGACAACACAACACAGAGATTCTTGGACTAAGGCGTCATGGATCGCGTGCATCAAATGTGTAATAAAAATTCAACTTATACACAGGGTAAAATATCGATCAGAAGCACACATATATAGGTCAGCTTTGAGAATAATATGCCTTGCTCACCTGAACGTTTGGATTTGATGTTTCAAAATTGTTTACACTTGTTTACACTGAAACACACACTTTGAAAGCACAAGTTGTTAACCACGTGGGGGGGGGGGTAGAAAATTTATTGGAAAAAATAAAGTTCACAAAAAACTGAAGTTTAACTGCACTTTGAGGGTTTTAAATAAATTTGTTTTTATCACAAGCAGGTGACTAATGTGAGAACGATACGACGGGACGAGCGACTTGCCTTAGCCGAGCGCCGCGTTGTTGTATGATGGTTGTGATTGTGATATAGCGGATTCTCATACCGCGACGAGGCCCCACCATCGCGTCGTATACGAAGCCGAACTCTTGTACACTACGATTCACAAGTTTACGAGTTGATTACACACCTGACTTACGGGCGGACGGGCGGACGGACGAGGCAACAGATTTTTGACATTTAAATTTTAAATCGCTTCGGTAAGCATTACTTACATTTTTTTATTGAATCATGAACTAGAAGTGCATGGCATCGTGCCTCGAGGCATATTGCTGGAACTTCCCGTGCCAAAATTATAATTTTTAACTAGCTGTAAGTGGAATTCTGTCTTAAGGCAATTAAGGCATCGTGCCTTAAGGCAAATTGCTGGAACTTCCCGTACCAAAAATTATATTTTTAAAAACGATTAACATTTTTGAAACAAATTTACTTCGAAAACAATTAGATTCTTGAGAAACTATAAATTTGACAAAAAATTACTTTTTTTGAAAACAAAATTTTTTTGAAAAGAAAAATGTTTTCTTCATTTTGACATAGTTTGGAAATTCTGAACTTTTTTTCAAAGCAATCGTACTGCTTGAACTGCATAGAGACGAAATGTTAAAGCGCGCAAGTGCCGCGCCGCCGTCTAACGCATAAGCATTGGGTACGGAACCCATAGGAATGTAAACAAAATTTATACTTATTGTTAAAATCTCTATAAAATATCTGATAATTTGATGTGTATATGTCTAATGATCATTTTTAACCGCCGAATGGCATTTTTTTTACTTTTTTCATTAGATCTCCGAAACCGTTAGACCTGCATTCCCAAAAATTTAACCAATTTTTCATTCCGTCAATATAAGTGAAATGTTTCTTGAATTATTCAAATCGGACGCTTCGTTCGCTCAAAAACTAAATTTCAATTTTTGGCACTTCTTGACCCCTATCTTCAAAACGACTGGACCTGCTTTTATCAAAAATTGATCAGCACGTCATCCTATTTAGAGGAATAGAATGATTTTTAAATCATTCAAATCGGTTGATCTGTGCTCTCGAAATCTTGGACAAAAATTTGTATCCGCACACACATACATACACACACATACGTACATTTTTTAAGGTATGCCAGAATATTCAGAAACTTTCAAAATATAAAGATGTGCAAAAAATTTCCGTTCCGATTTTTTTGCGGTTATGATTTTTTGGCGCAATCGCTTTGAAAAAAAATTCAATTGCTATCAAAATTTACAGAAAATGTTAAAAATTTCAAAATATTCGAAAAAAAATTAAGGCAACCATGCCTTACTAGTTAAATATAAAATCTGGCCGAGATTTTTGGCTAAAACGCGTACGAAAAAATTTGTTTCTTGGATATATAGAAACTATATAGAAACGGCTTGGACGATCGACTAATGAGTGAAAAACTTATCAAATTATATCGAATACCTTTTAAGTTCTTGAAATTAGTTCTACCGTTTTTTCTTAAAAAAAAAAACGTCGACAAAATGTGAAACTTCGGCTTCATACACACAGGCACATTTTTAATTTGTACTGCATTTACTATCCCAGTTAAAAACAAATTTAGTTTAATGAATGAAGTTATGAGAAATATCAAACAAAAAATAATTTCAAGATGATATCTCTTAACATTAATCTTCAGAGCACAAATTACATTGAGAATATGTGGACGAAGCTATAACAACAAAAACAGAAAGAACCAACTAAATTACAAATTGTAAATGTGAAAAGAAAAGCATTAAAACATTGCAAATGATTAATTTTCAAATTAAAAAAAAAAAACGACGACAAAATGTGAAACTTCGGCTCCATAGACACAAACACATAGTATTTTCAATTTATACTGTATTTACTGCCCTAGTTAGGAACAATTTTAGGGTAATGAAAGGATTCGAAATATCTAACAATAAACAATTGAAGAATAAAATTTCTTTCAGAGCACAAATGACTCCAAGAGATGTATACAAAGTCTCAAAGTTTTAGGTTTCAAATAAAACGGACGGTATAAAAAGGTTGCAAACCACTGATTTTGAGTTTCAAAGGATACATTATTATTACTACGTTTTTGGAAAAATCAAGAGAATAATTATCCATTTTTTGAAGCTTCTAATCATTATTTTTGCTGTTGCAAAATTTTATAGAACGCATATATAATTATTGTACATTATAGCAAAAAATTAAGTAAAGGAAATTAAATTATCTCATGTATTTGGATCCTTTTTTTAGCGGAAAATTCAAATTTTGGAAGTAGCAAAATATTCTAATGTGATTCTATTATAGTTTATTAATATATTTATTATCAAAATAGATCTTTGGAAATTTAAACACAAATGGCATTTTGAACATTTTTAGAGACTTATGATCTCTAATATTTTGAAATTTATAAAAAATTGTAGATCTTGAATGAGAATCTTATATGAATCTTAAAGAAAACGAACTGAAGTCTTTCTTCAAGAGATAGCAGCACAGTTAGAATTCCATAAGTAAACAAATGTCAAAATGCACATTTCTGTTGATTAAATAAAATAATGCTATGAAAATAATAACGTAGAAAAAGTTTCATGACTTAAACATCAAAATGGATAATACACTAGAATCAAAAAATGTGTACTTATCATCCTTAGTGGTCCGTATCAAAAAAAATTCACATCAAAATTAAGAATATTTTGAGGTTAACTTCCAAATTTAATTTCTAGTCTGGAGGGGTAGCAGGGCTTGTAGTAGACATTGCTCTATTTCCTCTAGATACATTAAAAACTCGATTACAAAGTCCAAAAGGTTTCATCAAATCTGGTGGTTTCAGAGGCATATATCATGGTTTGGGGCCAGCCGCTATAGGAAGTGCTCCATCAGGTCTAACTTAAAATCTGGTGCATATTTTATCTATTTTTCAACTAATTACTTATAATGTAAATATTTCATTACTTTCATTGATTTAGCGGCTCTATTTTTCTGTACGTATGAAAGCTTCAAACATTTGGCATCGCCTTATGTATCATCATCTACGGCTCCTTTAATTCACATGGCTGGGGCATCTGTTGCAGAAGTGGTAATAATAGAATCTATATTTTAAGTATTAATTAATTATAATGCAATTTAATTGTGCTTGTATTTTACATAGAGCTGGAATACTACCTGTGAAAAATTTACTTGCAAATATATATATATATATATATATATATATATATATATATATATTGCCATGTTTTTAAAATATACGCTATCAATTATCACTTCATTTAAAAATTATGTCAGAATAATTTTTTATTAGAAAAAGTGATGTAGTTCAATCATAAATTATAAGTAGGTCAATTGCTGAATTTGCAATATTTTACAAAAACTCAATCATCATGAAAACCAGCATGATGCGAAGACAAATATTTGATCACATTCTAAATGTAGAATATATTTTTAACTTCCCGTAGGGCATTCTTCTTTCTAAAGTTCTTACTTCCTGGTGCTGTGCTTCAGCTTTCAGTTCCCTGTATCAATCATCAGCATTCCAATCTATTTAGTCCTATTTTTGGTTCAATTAAGTTATAAAATATTAAAACCTTTTTACAAAACTATCAGTATAAAAACCAACTTGATGTCGAACCAATATTTGATTAGTTTTTAAATATAAATGGAATAAAATGTATTAATATACCACAATTACTGTATTAAGATGTTCTGAATGAATAAAACTGAATGAAAATCAAACAATCAAATTCCACAAATTTGACCAATTGTAATTCATTACTTTTATTGACCTAAGTTATTTTATTTTCAGGTGGCCTGCTTAGTAAGAGTTCCAGTAGAAGTAGTTAAGCAAAGAAAACAAACAGCAGGTATAAACAGATCATCCATCGCTATCTTAAAATCAGCATACAGGATAGAAGGCTTCCTAGATGGTAAAATATTAAATTTAATTCATTTCAGAATGCATTGAAACATGTTACACCTCAATATTATAATTTATAGGTATTTATCGTGGTTTTGGATCCACAATATTAAGAGAAATACCATTTTCTTTCATACAATTTCCTCTTTGGGAATATTTTAAGAAGCTCTATGTTGAATTATCAGGAAGTCCATTGAATCCATTAAAAGTTTCATTATGTGGAGCACTTGCAGGTGGTTGTTAAATACATAAATATATGTACATGATTATGTTGATATCTCAATGTACTATAATTATTTATATTTCTTAGGAGGAATTGCAGCTGCTGCTACGACACCATTAGATGTGGTAAAGACCAGAATTATGTTAGCAGAACTAAGCTCTTCAAAAGTCAATTTGAAAATATTATCGGTACTTAAAAATATTTACAGGGAAAATGGTATTTCAGGGTAAGCATATAATGCCTTGAAATTGTATTTTCATTATCTGGTTGAGTACATGTTTTTTTTATTGCTCAAATTTCTTAGATTATTTGCTGGCATTGTTCCAAGAGTTTTATGGATAACAATAGGTGGTGCAATATTTTTTGGTTCATATGATCTCAGTAAAAGAATGTTTGAAATGTATCACACAGAACCAACTTAGAAATGTTGCAATTATGAAAGGAGTGAAAATGTAGACATAGAATATTTTTAGAAGAAAAACCAAATTTTATATAAAACCATGTTGTGTATTATAGCTATTTATATAAAAATAAATTCACTAAAAATGTGATTTTCTCATTAACAATAAAACCTTATAAAATATGTACATAACATGTAAAATTGCATATAAAACTTATCAATTATCAATTATCAGATCATTAAGTCACAGTCGATAGGAATGATTCTCACATTTGTTCAGTCCACATGAGTATTTGCAATAAAAAATTATGTTGATGCTCATTGAGCACAATAAGACACTATATATATCAGTCATATCTCTAACACTTAATTCTAATTAAATTAATCTATTAAACATCACTTTGTTTAGCACTGCCATTGATTGCACCAGTGAAGAATCCACCATTAACTATGCCATTTAATTTAATATCACCATTTTGCATAATTGGTGAATTTGTTCCATTATTTTTAACTACAGGATGAATAAGATCTACTTTATCATCAAAAAGACCGTTTTGAATATTGGCATTATTTAATCTTTTCCCTTTAACTTTAGGTGGATGAGGTAAGGCATATCTCAGTTTGTCCCAGAACCACGGATCGCCCCATTCTAAGTAGGTATTAGTAGACAAGTATGCTTTTAACTCAGCATCAAGGCTATCTAAAGGACCAATATCCCCGTATATAATTATTATTACTCTTGCTCTGCCTTCTGTTAAAGCATTGTTGTGTGCTGTTCTAAACTCCATTTTACCCCAAACACTTTCTAAGAAATTTGCTGATAATATAACTACTGTTCTCTTAGAATCTTCAACTGATCGAGCAATTTGTGTGGGTATCCATTCCCCAGCTATCCAATCACGGTAATGCAAGCATAACTTGAAAGGATACTCTCCGCCTTCTAAATTAGGCACTAACTGATCTGTTACAAATTCTTCATCTTTATGAGAATATGAAATAAAAGCATCAAATAGTTTGTCCTTGTCAAGTTCTTCTTCTGTAACAAACCAGAGGCACATATTATGAGCAAAGAGCCAAACTTTGATCTCTTGCTGGTAATAGTAATACAATGCAGCTGCCGCTCCTAACAACAATCCTAATATTGCAACAACTACGCTTACTGCCACAATCACTGTATTGTGAAAGGGACAAAGTTCTCCAAGGGAAAGATCAGACCACTTTTTACCAAAACAAGTTATATTTTGAAGACCTTCCACAGTCTTGTAATTACTTTGCATGTATGATAATAAATCTTTGGATAAACAATTGCACATCCATGGATTGGATCCTAATGTCAATTTCGAATCCTTGTTTTATTTTTGAAAGCTTGAAATACCGAATTACTTATAAAGGATAAATTGTTGTGAGCCAATTCGAGAACTTCTATTTGAGGTGGAATATTACTTAAAGATAGCTCTGAAATATTATTGAACTCAGCATTGATTTTTCTAACATATGTGTATCCTACAAGGCTCATATTTGGAAGACTACTTAGATGATTGCCTTGAATATACAATTCAGTAAAATTCAATTTGCTTGCATTAAGATTTACAAGTGGGGGAACATGCACTAAACCTGCATAAGAACAATTAACAATCAAAGCAGTGTCAAAAATTCTGACTTCACATTTGCACTCCTTTGGGCAATGCTTAGTTGCACTTTTTGGATGATCGAGTGGACAAACTAATAACTTAGGATCCACTTTGCTTATTTGTACCCCTTCAAATTGTTGTGGCTGAGCACATGACAAATTTTTAGCTTCTAATTGTATCATTTTGTGCACATTTGGATTAAGTGTTCCTTCAAGATACCTCACAAAATGGTAGATCGAGCAATCACATTGTAAAGGATTGTCATCTAACAAAACCTTCACAGTATCTTTACCATCACTTTGAGAGTTTCCCAGTTGTGCAGCCATTTGTTCAGCTTTTACTAAATCAATTCGTGATATCATATTATGCCTCAGATCAACTTCAATAGAATTACTCAAGAAGTGGAGATTACCATGGAACGCCACATCTTTGATGTTATTGTAACTTAAATCCAATTTCTTCAAAGTTAGTAAACTCAGTCTCCAATCAGCAAAAATGCTTGTTAATGAATTGTTGGATAGATTCAAGGTGCTGAGCATGACAAGGTTTTTGAAAGGAGAATAGGAACCATAGGAATCATCAAAAGTAGGTGAACTAAATGATAAAAGATTATTTGCTAAATTAATATGAACTAAATTGTTTGTTCTACTAAATGCATTATAGTCAATCAGTTGTAATTTATTATTGGCCATGTTAAGATTTTTCAGATTTTTAAGGCCATTAAATAAATCTTCGGATATATTATCAATGTTATTATAACTAAGATCTAAGATTTCAAGACTATTTAAACTAGAAAACAACATATTTGGTATAAACGTGAGATTATTGTGATGTATCATGAGAACTTTTAAATTAACCAAACCTTGGAAGAACTGTTCAGTAAATGAAGATAATCCATTGTAACTCATATCAATGTTCGTCAAATTAGAAGAATTTTTAAATAGATTATCAGGAAGTGATGTCAGTTGGCATCTATCTAAACTTACATTACTAAGATATTTTAAATTAGCAAATAAATAATCACCCAAAGTCATATTTGGATTCTTATTAAAGGAAAATTTTACAGTAGTAAGATTTACATTTTGTTCAAATAATTTTGATGGTAACAAGGAAAGATTATTTGATGTTATGTATAATACAGTTAAATTGGGAAGACTGTGAAATATACTTTCATCTAATATTTGCAGCTTATTTGAGCTCAAATCTAAAGCTTTAAGATTTGATAATCCTTCGAATGCATTATTTGATATTTGGGTCAAGCTATTTTTCCATAAATTCAGCTGTGTCAATTCAAAGAGATTTTTGAACACACCATCAGGCAAATCATAAATATCATTATTACCCAACTCCAGATATTTCAGCTTTGACATACCGTCAAACACCCCTTGAGAAAGTTTTACATTGTTTGAGCGAAGATCTAGAGATGTTAAATTTTTTAAATCAGAAAACAGATCTGCTGGTAGATTAGTAAGCCCATTACTAGATAAAACGATTTCATTTACATCTGTAAGACCTGCAAGATGCTTTCGCACCAGTTCATTCGACAAATTCCTGTTGTATGTTTGAAAACTCAGTCTTTTGAATTTAGTGATTCCTATGGATTTAATGATATCCAGCAAGGAATCATCTTGAGGTAAAGGGCACATTTTGAACATCACATACTGCAGATCACCTATAGCTAGATTTGGAAGCAGTTTGTAGCTTGAAGATTCTGTTATGGATTGGCATTGAATCTTTACAAAGTCTTTGAAGCGGACATCCATTAAAAAAATAGGATTTTGTAAGTCTCCATCCTGAGAACATAAGATATCTTCTACGCCTGAAGTGAAGCCCAAGCATTTGCAGTACTGAGTGCTTTGGCATCTGAATATTTGTGTATCGCTGTAAACTTGACTTACAGCAGTCATGAGAATGATGAAAATTAAGGCACTCATTTTGGAATGTAGTTCTGTTTAACGTCAGTGCATATCTGCAGTTTTTATCTGTAAATGTAAATGATTCAGGTCCTTTAGAATAACTAGATTGTAAAAATGAAGTAAAACAGTACCAAAATGTATATGAAACTAAATTGTAAAAAAAATATGAGGTTTGGTGAAAATATGGAAATGAAATTTGATGAGGATGAGATGAATGAGAATGTAACTAAATTATCTACATCCAACACTTGGAATTTTGGGATATATCCATAAAATCAATTGCTAGTTTAAGTTTTTAATTCAGTGAATATAATATATAACCAAATCGTTATCCTAGAAATTATTTGTTAACGAAATGGAGTATTTAATAATATTTGTGCACAGTCCATGGTTGCATGTGAAAGCAACAATTTTTGTTTGTGCATATTTACAAGTAAAAAATAAATATAAATATAATAGAAGAAAGTACTATATACAGTTTTTTAGTGGAGAAAAATTATGACAATGTGAATATAACATTACACTTGAAAATTTTGTTCACCACCAAAATAAATGAAATAATAATTATATAGATATATAAAACGTTTAGTAAATTAATTATTTTATTAATTTATTTATTAATATTAAGTTATTTTTATTAATTTATTAAAATATTAATAAATGTTTGAAATTTGGGCAATTATAGCTGACATAGATGATGTTGATTGCTTTATACAAACATTTTGCAAAAAAAGAATGCAAAATTTATGAATATTAAATTGTAGTAACTGAAAAGTGATCATTATAACTAACATTATAAATTATAAATTAGACATAAATAATAATCTCAAGGCAAAACTGAGAATAGTAATTATACAAATAACTCAGTAATTTTAGCATACACACAAATCTATTAGTATAAATAATAGAAGTTTTTTAGTGCAGAAAAATTATGACAACGTGAATGGACGTACAACACTACACTTGAAAATTTTGTTGTAACACAAAAATGAATGAAATTTGGGCAATTTTAACAGACATAGATGATGTTGTGTAATTTGTGTAAACAAAGGATACAAAATTTATGAATATTACTTTGTTATAAAAGAAAAATAATCATTGTAAATCAAACAACTACTGATAATTATATATACTAATAACCCGAGCATAACACCGTAGTTCTATAACACGGATTCGCTCTAACACGGTGTAAGAATTGATACCATCCCCCTTATAACACGGTAATTCTATACCGTGATTCGCTCTAACACGGTTTAAGAATTGACACCATCCCCCTTATAACACGGTAATTCTATACCACGGATTCGCTCTAATCAGTTCGTTTAAGAATTGATACCATCCCCCCTTATAACACGGTACTTCTATAACACGGATTCGCTTTAACACGGCTTTAGAATTGAGCAAAACCCTGATAAAATACAAAATATAGTAAAATCTATGAAAATCAAACTTCATTTATTCTAAAATTAGTAAAATCGCAGTACAATAGCTCAATGAATGTGAGGAAACTAATGCAAAAGATAACTAATTTGATAATTATTATTCGAGCGCGTACGTTCTATAAGAAAAATTCTAGGCCTGTCCGAACAATTAATCTTAAAAAAAAATTCTTCAAATAAAATGAGCATAAAATTTTAATAAAGATAACTTTGCATGTGGTAAATATATAAAAAATGATTACTTTTGAAAAAAAAATAATGGACGGATCTGGAGGAATCTGAAAAAATTAATGAATATAACAATATTTATTATAAAATCATCATGTGTAGCATATTTTTTTTAATTCTTCAGAACGTAACCCCTGTTTTTGTACTAGTTCTTTGTATCGTATAACACGAATTCGCATAACACGCTAATTTTTTGCCATGTAAAAACGTTTAGTAATTTCAACATACAGAAATCAAGGCCTAGACAACATTAAAAATGATATCTTCATATAAACGTTTATATCTTTTGATTTTTGCGCCATTCAGAAAGGATAGTTAAAGGATCCTACACTCAGACGTGAGGGCGCTGCTTTTGGCATTCAAATTAATGGCGCAAAATTTGAAATAAAAATTAATGAATTTTAGTAATCGAGTATTCGAAACTGAATTTGGTATTACAATCGTATTATGTTTTGTAATAATACAATAACAAAAACATACTAAACTATATATAGTTGTTTTACTATAATATAATATATAGTTATTTTACTATATAAAATATACTAGATAATAAACATATAATGAAATCGAAATATAAATCAACAAACGCACTGCCGGTTTAAATATATATCACATCTAATCTACTGAAATAACTTCTACACTTTTTCTACTTATTAATATAAATATTTGATGAAATTCAGTGAATAATGTATTAGAGTATTAGTTCATTACATCGTTGTCATTCTTTAACTCCTATTAATCATCCCATGCAAAAGTTTGACTTTCTTAAGCTATTCATTTTCTTCCAAGTATATCCAGATTCGTATAAAGTGATAAGCTGGAAAATTTCTAAATACTTTGTCTTTTTTGTAGAAGCTTATACTTGATTTCTTACATAATTTCCTACAACTGGTCTATTTAATAATACTACGATAATACTATTAGACTAATCCGTCAATGCACTATGTAGTATTTATGTCCTGTATCTGAGCTGTTCTATTTATTTAGTCGAAGGGCTATGCATTTGAGAGCATAGTAATGAAATCTTCATTAACAAATTAAATACAAAAACAAAGAAGAATCATTATTTTAAGCTTATACATGATTTCTTACATAATTTCCTACAACTAGTCTCTTTCCTTAAAGTGTAATACGATTAGACTAATTTGTCAATGCATTACGTAGTATTTATGTCCTGTATCTGAGTTTGAAGCTGTCCTATTTATTTAGTCAAAGGGCTATGCATTTGAGAGCAAAGTAATGAAATCTTTATTAACAAATGTAAATACACAAATGAAGAAGAATCATTATTTTGTCAAGTGATACAAAAATAACACTGACGTTTCTTAGTATCCGACATAAAACATTTGACAATACTTTTTCATCGGTCCTGAATCAAGGTTTATCTCTGAGCAAAAACAATATTGAAATGTGATTAATTTAATGATTGTAATTATTCTCTTCACAAAAGTGTTAAAAATATGAAAATAAAATTAAATTTGCTATTTAATCATTCATATAAATATTTAGTGAAATTTAGTAAATAATGCATTATAGTGTTAGTTCATTACATCATTGTCATTCTTTAACTCTTATTAATCAACCCGTGCAAAATTTGACATTCTTAAGCAATTAATTTTCTTCTAAGTATATCCAGATCCGTGTGAAGCGATAAGCTGGAAGATTTCTAAATATTTTGTCTTTTTTGTAAAAGCTTATACTTGATTTCTTACATAATTTCCTACAACTGGTCTCTATAATAATACTACGGTAAATACTATAAGATTAATCCATCCATGCACTATGTACTATTTATGTCCTGTATGTGAGTTTGAAACTATTCTATTCATTTGGTCGAAGGGCTATGCATTTGAGAGCATAGTAATGAAATCTTTATTAATAAATGTAAAAACACAAATGAAGAAAAATCATTATTTTGTCAACTGATACAAAAATAACACTGACGTAGTAGCTAACATAAAACATTTGACAATACTTTTTCATCGGCCCTGAATCAAGGTTTATCTCTGAACAAAAAACAATATTGAAATGTGATTAATTATGTGATTGTGATTATTCTCTTTACAAAAACAGGAAAACAAAATTAAATTTGCTCTTTAATCATCCCCTTCACAAAAATACTAAAAATGTACAGTAAATTTTAGAAAATGAATAAAGGGCTTCTATTTTCAAACGGCTTACCTAAAACCAAAATATTTCTACCTGAAGACATTTTTTGTAATATTGAATAAAACTTGTGTATATATCAAATTCAGCGATACGTTCTCAAAGCGGAAATAATTTACACAAATACTGCGTAACATTGAATATAAAATTATGCAAATTTTGAAAAATATATGATAAACATTTGTTGGTAGTAATAGAAATAGAAGTAGAAATGTAAAGGACGCATATAGTAAGGAACAAAAGTTTGGTAAATATTTTGTTTCCTAAATATATGCGTATATTAAGAATTATTATGTATTATTATTATATTATATGAGTAAAAATGTCAAAATTAAATGTGTAACAAAATATGTTGCATACGACATTCATCGTAGTACTTAAGAGGTTAAACATAAAAAACAACAGCATCAAGACGCACAGAGTAGAAAGCGTACAAAACGGTAAATTATGCTAAAACCACATGAAACAGTTCCACACCAAATATTATCAAAAATCTATTCCTCTACTTACATATGCACTTATTCCGTGTTTATCCTCACATTATTAAATAACACAATGCAATAATAACAACGAAACTTCGATTCGATAACCGCACTAACTAATGTTTGCAAGTACAACAAAAATCCTGCTCAACTAGAATGGGAGACGGCGTCGCCATAGAATAGTTTTAACATTTACGTATGACGGAGCGGCAATCCCCATGGGAAAATTTCACGACTTCTAACAACTTCAGGTACTGCGAGCGTCGTACTTCGCTCGTTTCGTTCGTTCGTGGTCGCAGTGATTATTTTTTAAGCAAATACAGCGATTCTCAAACTTGGGGGAAATTGGGTTTTACCCGGAATTGGATAATTGGTTTTGTGTTTACTAGATTTATTTTAGTGTAGTAGTTGTATTTTTGCAATTCATTATTTCTCATAAATTTATCTAGTACTTTATGTATATATTTTTGGTTTTAATTTTCTGAACAAATAGACTCGAACAAAGAATCCCTTTTTTTCAAAAAACGTTGTCTTAATAACAAATACGAGTATAACTAGTGGGGCGCATGGCATCGTGCCTTAAGGCAAATTGCTAGAACTTTCCGTACCTAAAATTATTTTTTTTAAAAAGCTTAACATTTTTTGAAAAAAAAGATACTCTGAAAAAAATGAGATCTTTGAGAAACTATAAATTTTTGACAAAAATTTACTTTTTTTTTTGAAAAAAAAAAGACTTTTTGAAGAAAATTATTTTGAAATATTTTGAAAATTCTGAACTTTTTTTCAAAGCAATCGTACTGCTTTAACTGCATAGAGACGAAATATCAAAGCGCATAAGCGCCGTCTCGCTGTCTAACGCATAAACATTGGTACGGAACCCATAGGAATGTAAACAAAATTTATACTTATTGTTAAAATCTCTATAAAATATCTGATAATTTGATGTGCTTAAGTCTAATGATCATTTTTGACCGCCAAATGGCATTTTTTTACTAGATCTCCGAAACCGCTAGACCTGCCTTCATGAAAATTTGATCAGTTCATCTTGTTAATACAAGTAAAATGTTTTTTGAACGCTCCGTTCTCTTAAAAACTGAGTTACCGTTTTGGCACTTTTTGCCCCGAATCTACGAAACGAACGAAACCTTGTCAATACGAATCGAATGTTTTTTGAATTATTCTAATCGCTTCGTCCGTGTTCCCGAAATCGTCGACGAAAATTTGTATCCGCACACACACACATACATCCATTTTTTCTAAGGTATGCCAAAATATTCAGAAGGTTTTGAAACGCAAATATATATACAAATTTTCATTTTTGTTTTTTTTTTCATTTTGACTATAACTTGCCCTACGGGAAGTTAAGAAATACATTCTAACTTTCGTTGTATATTCATTTTTATTAACTTCCCGATGAGTAAGTTATTGTAATCGTCCAAAAATCGAAATTGAAAATTTTTGCAGATCTTCACATTTTGGCATACCTCAAAAAAAATGAATGTGTGTGTTTATGTATGTATGGATACAATTTTTCATCCCTATTTTCGGGCGCAGGAATCAAACTAATAGAATGGTTAAAAAACATTCGATTCCTATTGATAGGGAGATGTGCTAATTAGTTTTTGGCAAAAGCAGGTCCAGCCGTTTCGGAGATACGATGCAAAGGAGTGTAGAATATAGATATCGAGTTTTTGAGAGAACTATGCATCCGATTTGAATGATCTAAAAAACATTCAATTCATAATGATGGGGAGAAGTGATAGATAGTCATAGAGGATAGGTCCAGCGGTTTCGGAGATACGGAGCTAAATGTGCAAAAAATGGCAGTTTTTGGGAGAACTAACTAAGCATCCGATTTGAATGATTCAAGAAACTTTCTGCTTTTGTCGACGAAACGATTGCTTTTGGGAAAAAAGCATTTCAATTTCAATATATGTATTTTAACAAATTTATTTAAGTGTTTTTATATTAAGTATTCTTTTAACAAATCCATAAGTATTTTTATAATACAAGTTTTTTTACCAAATTTTTGTTCATGTCAGTCATATGTGTCTGATGCTAAAAAGGTATACATGAGCCATGTCAGACATATATGTCTCATATACTTTATTTGGTAGAAGGTTTGTCGAGAAAGAAAGCTTTAATTTAGGGTCACGTCAGCCATATATGTGCGACATAAAAAATAGTGTTTTTCCAGGAATTTTGGCCATACATCTTCACATTAGCGAGTAAGTGCTAATATTAAAATTTTGAATTCTAAAGTATAATCAAATCATAACAAAATATAATTATCAAAAGTTTTTTTTGTTGAAAAAAGTAGGTTTCTGAAAAAAACAATTTTTTAAGCAACCACAGTGCTTTTTAAAACTTTAGTGAATTTTAATGATCAATTTGTATCACTTTTGTAGGTATATAATATTTTAAGATGTTCGGTTAAACCAGTGATTTCCAAAAGGGGTCTATGATAACTTTTAAAGCACAAAAAAATCGTAATTTACGAAATGGAGATGAGGGTCTGCGGAAGTGGATCACAACACACCATGTTGATATATTAATGTTATTTACTTTTACTTTAGGTAATATACGATATCTATAAGTAAAAAAAAAGTTTATTTCTATAGGATTGATAAATAATTGATATAGGGTCCATGGCAAAGCCCTGGGGCCCAAAAACAAAATAGTTTGGGAACATATGGGTTAAATCATATACAGAGTTTTATCAAAATCGCAAAAAAAAAACAAAGTAATGACGTAGAAATGGCTCGGCCGATCTTTAAAAGGAACTAAACAGGTTTGTACTTCAAACACGTTTATCTTTCAAACGGTTTCTGAGATTTCAGCCGTTTTTGAGTCGAAAGGTCAAAATTGCACACATACCCCACATACTTCTCCAAATTTTTAGTCAAATTGTTCAAAATAGCAAATAGGCGAAAACGTAAGTTAAAAATATAAAAATGTATCGTCAGAAACATGGCTTTAATATGATGCACCAAAGATTAATGAAAAAAATATATAGCGGATATCAAATTTTGGGATTTTAACAGATTAAGAACTTCAAAGTTTTTTCAAATTCTAATTTAAATAATTAAATAATTATTTTTTGCGGTTGGACCAGTCAAGGCTAACTTTCTATAAAATTTAATACTCCTGTGAATGCAACATTGAAGACACTAAAATATAAACAAAGCACTTAAAAACGGCGTATAAATTGCCTAATATTCATCCATGAAATATTTAAAATTAAATATAGTCAATACATAAAAAATACTAAATTTATTTTAAAAAATAGTATTATAAAAATACCTAACAATTTCTTTAACAACTTTATTGTAAAAATACTTATTAATTTGTTAAAAAAAATTGTAATGTATAAATACTTGAAGTTGAGCAGTGTTCTTATATTTTAATAATAATTATAAATTAAGTAAAAATCAATTTCGATTATTGGACGATAATGAAAAACAAATAAATAAATAATAATTATATAAAAATTGATAACATATTGACATGAGTCTTGTTGTATTCATTGCACTGTAAGATAAATAAATAAAATTGAATATACAACAACCATTTAAAAAATTAGAGTAAATTTATTATAAAAATATTAATTATAAAACACGATAATTGTGTATTCTCTTTGAACAATTTGATAATAATCTAATATTAACAACAATTAGTAACAGCTAATAGAACACAATTGAGATATAATAAGTTTATACACTAATGTAGATTAGTCAGATATATAAATGAATCTATAATTACAATTTCCCTATAATCTAATATGAAGGAATCCTAGGAAGGAAAAAAATTGACAACAAAATACTTAAAAATAATTTATCATAAGCTTACAATTTAATCACTGGTATTTATCATCGGGCATCATACCCAGGTAGTAAACATTTTAAAATTGCTGATAATTCTTCATTAACCTTAAATTTGTACTCTTTTGTTAAATCTTGTCTGCAATATGGACAAGTATATACCTCTGCAGCAAAAGATCTTTTCATACAAGACAAACACATATTGTGCAAACATGGAGTTGTAATTGGTTTTACACAAATTTCTTGACAAATGATGCAAGCAAATGTAGATTGAACGCAGTCAACAAATTTCTTTTCTCCTTCAGGCAATTTCTCCAGACACAGATCCCATAACTTTTTGTTGATTGTATCTTCTAATATTTTCTCGTTCTGCTCTTGAGTCAGCTTATGTTCAGGGATAACAACAGGACTAGATTCTGATTTAGCATCATCAGATTTTTGTTTTTTAGTTGCTTTACTTGAACTATCCTCAGCTTTTCTTTTCTTGGATAGTTTTTCGTTCTGTGCTTCCAAATAGTTGTCTGGATATATTATTGGAAGCGTAACACCATTTTCCTCCCATGGCGCTGGTGCAGGATCATCTCTTTTTAGTAAATATCTCCAAACTTTGAACCCAGATTGCCCAGTTTGCTGCCAGTATTTAACAACTTTGTATATACCATCATACCTCAAGCCTTCTTTTGGTGCATATTTTGGATTATGTTTAACTAACTTTTCTGAACGAATTACTCTTACTGGTTTCCCCTTTTTCCAATCTTTAGCTTCACCACCTTTTTGGTTTAAAGGTATATTACAATTTTTAGCAAGAGCTTCATTTTCCCTAGTCAGTTTTTGATCATGATTTTGTTCCGCTGTGCGTTTATTTCCGGAGAGGTCTCGACCACCAGAACCAGTGTAAGTGAATTCTAGACCATCATCCTTATCGTCTTCATAACCTGCTGCAAGAACTATGCTAAAAGCACCTATAGTTGCTTTACCATGTATACCTGAAACCGGTGGGCGATGAACACCAGCTTCACTTGCTTGAATTCTGTATTTCCAGCAAGTGCCAACCGGAACTCCTGGAATAGCACCAAAGTGATCAGGTGGTACTATGGTACATGTTGTCGTACGACCAGCACATGCCATTCCTCTTCCCCAGTCTTTGGAGGTATTTACATTCCGCACTTGTTGTTTTGTTGTACTACCGCTTTTAACAATACTATTGACATCTGTCTTGCACTCAGGACAATACCAATTATCTTCTTCTGGTAGTTTGTCCAAGGGCGGTGTTAGACATTGTATATGATATCCTTTATCACACTCATCACATAAAATTATGTTATCCGCATTATCTTTTTTTGAACAAACAGAGCAACCGCAATTTTTGCAATCTTTAGAATTATCATCACGACATTTCAAGCAGTAAAAAGCAAGGTACCTTAATTCTGTGTCAGTTTTCATTAGCTTTTCATCGGCATCAGTCCTGTCTGTTAACAGTTTGTGTGTTTCAACTTGATAAATGTCTTCTAACTGAACGACTTTACAGTCTTCTTCTCGAACGTTTTCATGTCCCATGTATAAAGTACCAATTAAATGTTTGACTTTTCTTCCTGATTTAATGTCTGATATTTCTAAATCATACCAATAGCCTCTTTCTTTGATATCGTCTGTATTATAATTAACCATAACCCTTTGTCCAGGTTTTAAATCATCTATATTTAATTTTGTGCGTGCTCTAGGTCTAATACATGCCAACTTTAATTCCATGGGTTCATCATCTGAAGACACTTTAAATTTGACCAAGTATAGAAGCCCATCATCTTTTAAATTCTCTAAGTTATTATTGGAAGTTGTTTGGGAACTCTGGCCAGCTTTGGTATTAGTCGATTCAGGATTTTTTACAATTCTAACAATTTCTCCTTCAAACCATGCACCGTGGGTTATATCTTGACCGTCTACCAAATCACCAACATGGTAATATTTACTGTCAGAAGAATCTTCAAATTTATCTTTTGGTTTTTCTTCGACAACTTTATTTGTGCAAACTGGTGCAACTGAAGGTAACTCGGACTGCAAAATCCGAGAGACTAGTTGGATTAAGTCATTTTGTTTTATTTTATAATCATGAAATCTTTTACCGTCTTCTAGCTCTCTGCCTCGAAATAAAAGTCTCTGTCTCTCGGGGGCTACTTTGAACTTCTCATCAATTAATTTTCGAAATTCTTCAACAGTGATTAAAATGGAATCAATATATATCGTGAGAGCCTTGTCGATTCCTTGTCGTACAAGTACATGCATTTTGTAGTACCTTTTTATATACACAAGCAAAAATAAAATTTCTAAATTGTAATTAAAATAATGTTAGATATTGTATTTATGGCACTACACACAAAACAACTGGATATGTTATAATTGTTATGTGACTTTATTTCACGAATTATTAAAACAGTTGGATAAAATCTATAGGTGTTGAAAACATGATGCCGCGCTGAGTTGTCAAAGCAACGGGTTTGCTTCAACAGGTTATGTTTTGGCGGTTAAAATGAAGTCGTAGAGACGTAAAAGATCCAATTCGGCGAGATGTCATGTTCGTTAACAACGCACCATCATGAGCGCCTCTGGTGGCATTTGGTAACATTAACTTTAATTAGTTATTATCACCATAAATAAATATGCATATTATCACTAATATTATTCAATTATTTATTATCACTTATAATAACTTTAATTAGTTATTATACTCTTTTTTTATCTATGGTTATTATATATAAAATGATCATGTGATGGCTAAAATATGTTTTATTATATCAATTCAATTTATATCAGTATTAGTATTTAATCCAACTTTAGTGCAGACAGAGCATATATCAGATATTCAGTATCAAAATCGAAACATATATTCGAATAATTCATTTTATTCAAATTATAAACATAAATTCGAATAATTTATTTTATTCAAGGGTATATTATTATATATTATTTATTAATTACAATTAAGTTTAAGTACGTATGTATGTACGCAAGCGTTCTGTGTATATATGTGTATAGTATAGTGTTAGTAATAAGTAAAAATATATAGATGTCTTCATGTAAGTGTGTTACATAAAATTTAGATTTATTTTTGTTATAATTGCTGTGATCTCTCATACCAGAACAATTGTCTGACTGAGATACAGTATGTACGAATTATATCAAATACATAAAAAAAAATAAAAAAACTATAATGGGAAGAAACAAAAATAATACAGAAAATCTTATCTAAACGAATATCTCAGAAATGTATTTATAGAAAAAGTGTAATTGCATATACTGAAATATAGATACAGTATGAAATTTTGTGAAATATTTCTGAATGAGTAATTCTGATATAAAAATATATTAGTAGAAAGTTGTATTAAAATATAAATCCTGATTTAACAATATATTTTAATAATTATACCACCGAAATTTGAATGTTGATGATTTGATTAACCATGAATGAAAATTTTGCTTTGTGGTTTTATAAAGTATAATTTCATAATGAAATCAACTTTAGCATAAACTAATAGAAAACTTGTGTATGTAAATATAATAAATTGTGATTTTGTTTTTGTAGCAACTCCAAATACATATTTTATAACAAAAAAAAATTCAAATGGGGTCGGGAGTGATTTTAATGTCAAATATTTATATCATTTTATAACATCACGTCTTGATTTTTGTACGTTCTCAACTAATTTTTAAACTATATATTTTCATATATAAAATTGTATATGCATATTGTAACCAAATAAATAAATAATTTAAAAATATTTTTTTACATATGTGGGGTCGCCAAAAAATTGCAATCATAAATGGGGTCGCGAAGGACATAAGTTTAAGAAGCCCTGGTTTAGAGGCATTAATTTTATGCGATTTTAAAACAGTAAAAGGCAAACAGTTTTTTTCACGTTATTATTTATTGATTAAAAAATATAAAAAAAATATTAAAAATAGTCGAAGTTTTAATTCTAGAAAAAGATGGATTGGGTGTTCTCAAAAAATTGACACCTGACCATCCCCTCTAAATTTTAGCCCTCTAAAAAATCTGAAGTAGAATATTATATATATTATTAATATAGAATAATGTCGTAATTTAGAAAAAAATATTAAATATAGCCATTAAGTTCTAATTTTAGAAGGTGATGAACCTAGACAATATTAGAATACGATGTATTCATTGGTGATGAAGTCGGGGATTTCAAAAAATTGGGACCTGACCATATTCATGATTTTAGTCATCCAAATAATCTGAAGTAGAACATTACATTTATTAATAATCTAGAATAGTGTCGAAATCGTATAAACTATATATTTATACCAATAGTTCGAAATTCTTTTTTTCTTACTTTTTTGATATATGTACTCGTCTTCTTAATAGTAAAAAATAGATGTGGATTATTGTAATTTATACTAAAAAGATGTCTGTAAAGAAGAATCTGCAAAAAATCATTAGGGGTTGTCTTCATTTTAGAATTTACTTTCAGTATAAATTACGCCTATTTCCAAATTTTGCGTCCAAGTTAAACTATTTTAAAAACATTCGAGAATTTTTTTTTTATTTCGAGCAGTAGCAACTTTATGAAAAAATATTTTATTAACTGGTCCGTAGTTCAAACGCTTGCGACATTATTCTAGATGAATGTTATATACATATTTTTTCTTCAGACCATTTGGAGGCTAAAATCATGGGTATGGTCATATGCCAATTTTGTGAGACCCATCACATTCCAGAATTAAAACTTTGACTATTTTTAATTTTCATTTTTAATTTTTATTTTTATATTCTCAAAAAATTAATTATAAACTTGTAGAAAATATTGTTTGTTTTTTTAAGGCCTTTCAAAATTAGTTGTGAAGGATAAATAGAATGCAAAAGTGGAAGAAGTAGGTTTTTGGGGTCGATTTTGTAGAATTCACAGAATTTTAAAAAATCAAATTAAGAAACTAAAAGTAGAATAGCAGAAAAAAGTTAATAAATTGTTTAACAGCTGAAAAAATCTATTAAATATTTAGGTAATCAAAGTAGCTGGTGGATATGGTCTTATGGTCACAATGTCTAAACCAACTGTTCAACTTAAAAATCTTAGAACAAACCAAAGAGAAATAGTACTTGAAGAAAATAAATCTATTTAATGAACTTCAAAAAGAAGTTATAAATCAATGGACAAAAAAGCAAATAAAAAAGCTTTATCTGAAAATTGTAAGAAAAATATAAAAGCAAAGACTCGAACTTATCCAACAAATGATACTAAAAATCTTTTCATCAGTTTAATTTGGTCGAAGTTTGAATAAACTACGTTAGAATTTTGCTGCAAATTTGTATATATATATATATATATATATATATGTATAAATATATTTATTTATAATAAACACGTTTTATATGTAGTTCCGTATATGACTTCTTTGGATGCAGAAATGTGAAAGTAAAAACAAATATAAAACACCTGCTTAAAATTAGATTTACGTTCTCATTTTAAAATATTTAAATTTGGGAAATATTTAAAATATAAGTTGCTACATATTTAAAAATAATCCAAATTCGTATGTAATTGACAACGCTGAGAAAAAAATAGGGAATGGCGTTCTGGTCTATGCACTTTAATTGGCATTTTAATTAGTTTGCGATGTTTTTAATAAAATCGTTTTCCATAAAAAAAAACAAAAAAAAAACGATTCAACATTTTTGAAAATATTAAAATTTTTTAATTATATAATAAAGTATTAATACTATCCGAATGTGATGACTCAATTATAACCCAATCCAAAAATCGTTTTGTTCGGTATAAGAATTCATTTTATAGAAATCAATTCTATAAAACAAAATTAGTTTGAATTAAGATATATACAATTAGTTATAAACTCCAACTAGTGTTAATTAATAAATTATAAAATATCGGGGACAATTATCAGGCCGATAATCCGATAATTATTATAATAATCCAACACGATAAAAGAATCAAGTCAATGTTTATAGCCGTAGACAATAATATCATAAAATATATTTCAATAATAAAATCTTCAAGCATTCGCTTTTTAATATGTATAATTTCTTCTTGACCATTAGCATCGAGATGACCAAGAGTTCGATTTAATTTGCTATTTGGGTCACTAAATTTCGTATATCAACTTTTTTATAATACTTCATTTATTTATGTTCTGAATTTATTATGCAAATGTAGAAAAAATTGTGGGAATACTACATACTAAATAGTTCTGATGGTAAAATTTTATATTGATAATGGAATAGACTTCAAGTAAGTATTAATTTAGACTAACTAAAAATTAATTTTTGCATTTTGATTAAACTGGTTTGCCTTAAGGAAAGTTGCATGAGCTTTCCGATATTACACATATCGACTTTATCAATAATAATTCAGGTTTTAAAATTGATCTCATATACTCACAATTATTTTTTCCATATTTGGTCTCAAATGATTCAGAGTGACCTGAAACAAAAAGAAATCATGAAATTAGTATGCCGGATTTTTTTTGCAAAATCTTTTTATTAAAGTTAAAAAATGGTTATTTTAAATAAAATCAGATTTATCTGTTTTATTGTAATTATGCTGCTTTATAGGTAGAACATTAGTAATCTAAATTTATTTTAATTCATAATACTATGGTACTGGTATACCAATTCCACATACTTCTTTTTAAATTTCCATATAATTACAATCTGTCTGGAAAAGCTTGCAGAATGCTTAGAGACTAAAATTTTGAAATAAAATTTAAAATGCTATTCAGCGGTAGTCATTTTAAGTTTAAAAATGAATGTTTAATGTAGATGATATTTTATAACATATTTAATTAATTAACTTGCTAAATCTGAAAAGCTTATTTTTTTGAGACTTCTGAAGATGTTTGAGGAAAGCAGACCTTTATCAAGTTAATTTGGATGATTTCCCAGGTAGTCTGGTCCTTAGATGCAAGTATTCTAATTTTTTCAGTCATTGTATACAAATTGAAGTTTTGGTGGATAAGCCAATTTGGAACATATTTGGTTAGTGAGACTTTTAATGTCTTTTATTCCACATACTTAACAATATTAACCAAATATCATTGTATGTTTATATCTCATAAAAGAATAAAGAAGATTTTATTCTTATGATCCATAGTTTGGCTTTCTCGTGAGGTTCCTGGTTCCATACCTGCCTTCGGGCAGCAACGACATCGGTTTTTACATGGTAATATAGATATGAAAATATGTTTCCAAGTGAAAATAAGGCTTGATTTGCTTTACCGTAATAATAAAAATTCAAGACTATTTTGAAGATAGTAATAATAAAATTCATCACAAAGAGATAAGTCAACTGTTTGAATTGCCATCTATAAAACCGACGTAGCTGGTTTAGTCAAGTCGTCAATGGCTTATAGTATATTTAAGTTCTGACTGATTGCTGTTTAAAATAATAAACAATAAAAAAAATTACAGAAATTGTAATAATAAGAATTCATCAAATAGAGATAGGTCAACTGTTTAGATCGACATCTACAA